TGCATGTGGCTTCGGGCGAATGAAGTCTTGTGGCAGTCCTGGCTTCCAGATCAAATAAGGCAGGTTTCCGGAGAATACTGAAGGGCTGGGCTAGGATTTCGGCGGAGGAGACCCAGCTTTCACCAGAGCTTCCCTGCTTCTGGCCAAAAACAGCCATTATTTAGGTTGCCTTTGGGTTTTCTTCCCAAGTCTCTGAACATGTTATGAGTGCCCTGGGACGGTGCAAACGTAGCAGCATGCCAAAGGCATGCACGGTGAATCCGTTGCTCAAACTGTTGACTGTGTGTGTGTGTAGATCCAGCCAGACAGGTAGGCGAGTCACCGCAGGTGCGAGTCGGGAACCCACGTGCAGAAACCCCACGTGCCGGAACCCCGACAACCGAGTCGGGAACCCGCGAGTGTCGAGTCAGGAACCCGCGAGGGGGCGAGTCGGGAACCCAAGAGGGGCGAGAACCAGCCGCAGGGGTGGCGGTCGCGTTGGTCGTGTTGGTCGTGTCAGTGGTGTCGGTCGTGTTGGTCGTGTTGGTCCTGTCGGTGGTGTCGTCGCTCGTGTTGGTCGTGTTGGTCGTGTTGGTCCTGTCAGTCGTGTCGATTGTGTCGTGTCGGTGGTGTCGGTCGTGTTGGTCGTGTTGGTCGATGTTGGTCGCGTTTTGGTCCTGTCGGAGGTGTCGCTGGTGTCGGTCGTGTTGGTCGTGTTGGTCCTGTCGGTCGTGTCGGTGGTGTCCGTCGTGTTGGTCCTGTCGGTGGTGTCGGTGGTGTTGGTCGCCCCATCAGTCCAAGCTGTTGAGGAGTTCTGAATTTAGTTATAGTCCAAGCTGCGCCCCATCAGTCCAAGCTGTTGAGGAGTTCTGAACTTAATTATAACCGTCCCGTTAGTCCAGGGATCGCTCTGTCAGTCCAAGGATCGTTCCTATTAGTCCAAGTTGCGCCTTTTCAAACCAAGCTGGTCAGGAGCTCTGAACTTCGTTAAAATCGTGCCATTAGTCCAACGGTCGTTCTGTTAGTCCAAGGATCGTTCTTATTCGTCCAAGCTGCGCCCCATAAGTCCAAGTTGTTGAGGAGTACAGTTCTGAACTTGAACGAACTTGAATAATTGTGTAACCATCCAATTAGTCCAAGGAACGTTCCTATTCATGATTATTAGTCCAAGGATCACAATCATTAGTCCAAGCTGCGCCCCATCAGTCCAAGGTGGCGGCTGACCGGCTGATGGGCTGGCCGGCTGATCGGCTGGGTGGGTCGTTCCCCGGTCGTGTTGGTCATGTCAGTCGCGTTGGTCGTGTTGGTCCTGTCGGTCGCGTGGGTCTCGTTGGTGATGGTGGTGGTGTGGGTGGTGTGGGTGGTGTGCGTCGTGTCGGGCGTATCGGTCGTGTTGGTCGTGTCTGTCGTGATGGTTGTGTCGGTCGTGTCAGACGTGCTGGTCGTTTTGGTCGAGACGGTCTGGTGGTGCTGGTCATGTTGTTCGCCTTCAGAACGGGAGCGGGAGTTCCTGATTCGTCGCCGGCACAGGTTCCTGACTCGCCCCTTCCAGGTTCCCGACTCGCACTTTGGGGTTCCCAACTCCATCGCCGCGAGTTCCCGACTCGCCCCTTCACAGGGTTCCTGACTCGCCCCTCACCCGATCCAGCCGTAGGCAAGCTGGGCAGGTTTGAACCACACCAAAAGTAACACGGACAGCCACAAGAGGCTGCACATGTGAAAAGTGCCCATGTGGACATGTGACACTGCCAGGTGCTTTCCGCAGTTTGGCCTCTACGATCAGCGTACACGAGAGTTCGTTGCCAGCCAAGCGCAGTCGGCTGTGCTCACGTGCGAGGTCTGCCCTGCCGGCCGATATTCTGCGCCGTTTGCGGATGAGAAGGGCGCAACGCAGGTGTGCAAACCGTGTGAGGTGGGCCGTGCCCAGCCGAAGGCTGGCGCTCGCTCCTGTGACGAATGTGGTTTCGGAGAGTTCCAGGCGGCCGAGGGCGCCACTATCTGCAGCAGGTGCGGGCGTGGCAATTTCTCAGATGATCGAGGCATGTCTTCATGCAGAAGCTGTCCGTCTGGCACAGTTACGCTGGGGTTGGGATCCATCAGTGAAAGTGACTGCGGCTGTGAGCGAGGAGCTATGAAAATGGAAGATTTGGAAGGGGATAGCTGCGCTCCTTGCGGTGAAGGTCTTGACTGCCCCTTTGACTCGACAGTGGCGTCCTTGCGAACTGGCACAGCAGCCCTGGGTGAGAACTTCGTGCCAAAGCTGGTACCAGGATATTTCAGCACGGCAACAGCGCCTCTGAGCGTGTACAAATGCAGTGACCCGATTTTCTGTCCTGGTGGTTTGCCTGGCAAATGTGGTGGAGGCCGGGAAGGCATTGCTTGCGCCAGTTGTCCAGATGGTCACATTTGGACTGGTCAAAGTTGCCAGGCATGTGGAGCTCGAACTGGTGTGCTGATTTTATCCATGGTGCTTTGCCTTTTCATCCTTGCCTTGGCAGCCCGTTTCTGGCCCACTGGCATAGAGGTTAGGCTCACTGTGTTTGAGGCCAGTCGTCAAGCTGCTAACATTTGTGTGAGCATCTTTCAGCAACTGGCAGTGATTGGCGGTCTGAATGCCGCGTGGCCACCGTTGCCGCGTGGAGTCGTGTTTGCTTCGCAAATCTTTTTGCTAGATGCGAGCATCATTCCAGCTGCCTGCGTGGACGGGAGGCCTTGGGTTATCCATGCTCAAGCGGCAGCCGTTTATCCGGCGCTTTCCTTGTGGTTGCTGCTCAGCCTCAGCCTTTCTTGCATGATTAGTGAGCACTGGAGCTTGGAGAAAACGCTGAACCTCATTGGCTTCCTGTGGCAATCCAGCATCACGGCCATGAATGCAATTGCCTTGACCCCAGTCATGTGCATCGCCCACCCGAACGGCCAGCAAAGCGTTGCCAAGCACAAAGATGTGATCTGCGGTGAGGGACAGCATGGGGTCATGATAATCACAGGCATGTCGCTGCTTGCATTGGTGGTCGCCTTCTTCGCGCTTTGCTGCTACGTAGTCATTGTCCTTCCAAGATGGAGCGTGCAAAAGCATCGCAGAGCAGTCCGCAACGTCCGCTTCCTGACAAATCGTTTTCGCCCTGACCGCTGGTGGTGCGGAGTCCCTGTTCTTCTTCGAGGTACTCTGCTTTCCCTGCCGCATGCTTTGGCACCCGATTCAGAGACAATCCAGCTCTTCTCTCTCTTCATCCTCGTCCTGGTCTTTCTCATGCTGCAGGTCATCACAATGCCGTGGAAGGTTCCCATTCTCAACAGTATCGATGTATGGCTACATGCTTGCCTTCTGGCTTTCATTGCTGGCAGGGAGGAATTCAGCACCATGGTTCTGCTCACCATGCTACTCTCAATGGTGCTGATGGCAGTCACCGTGCTGGTACTCTTGTCATGTGGCTATGGATCGCAGAGGGACAACGCTATCTTCAACCTCGGCGCAATGCCTAAGGATTATAAGCTGGCCAGACAAGTACAGGAGGTGGTGAAAGCCCTTCAGAAGCTCACGTTTAGGCCCGAGTCTTTCAAAAATCAAACGAGTAAGCCGTCGCTTTTCCAAACTTGGACTCCCAACCTGTTCAGAGGCAGCTGGAGGCAAAGGTCTCGTTGCTCCACGTCGCAGACTTGAAGCTTGTCGTGTCGTACCTGACCCTTGGTTACTTGAGACATCTTGAAACCAGTACCTTCTTGTCAGATTCATAGGCTTCTCAAAGCTTTCAGGTTGCAGGGGTGATTAATGAGTAATTCCTGGAGACAGACACGTGGAATGGATGCCTGCCAGGAACCTGGCAGCGGCAGAAATGGTGCGGGGCGAGGTTAGACGTTCAGTATCTGGAGATCGGCTGCGCATGTCGCATCCGCAGGTATTGCTAGACATGATGCGCAGCTCCACGAGAGTTAACGAAAGGCTTGCCGGAGAGGCCGGGAAGTCTTCAATGCATGATGAGGCTAAGGAAATCGATCCAATGCATGAGGATGCTGATGTCATTGATCCAGCGGTCGCTCCTTGTCCTTCAGATGTTGTCAGTTTGTAGTATATATGGCAAGCCTGGCACCCTCGCTGTTCTCTTCCCTGCTTTAATGCCTCGTTGGGTTGGTTGCTAGCTGATTCTTGCTGGTCTCCTTTCCTAATTCCTAGCCGCTAGGGAAGAGGGTGCCAGGTTTTTCCCCGACTCGCTCTGCCCGGGTTTTGGCAGATTTTCCGGTAGCTAGGCCTGCATGTTTGAAGACATGACTGGTGCTGGGCTACCAGCATCCTCGAATATTCATTGCAACAGCCATGCTTGAAGGCATGGCTGGTGATGGGCCACCACCATCCTCCAAAAACCATTGCAGCGACACTTCAAGATCCGGAAAAGACAGCGTGTTTCATGATCGATCACTGCAGGCATGGTGCTGGTGACTGTGATCATGCCCCTAAAACATTTCTCAGTACTCCAGAGGCGGTCCCGGGGGTTGTGACGGTGGCGGTAGTAGTGGGAGCGACAGCGGTGATGGCGGCGGCGGCGGCCGTGGTGGTCGTGATGGTGGTGGTCCGTGATTCAGAAATCAGTTCGCCGCAACATGTTAGCACGTTGTGATGCGGATCCCCTTCTTACGATTGCAAACTTCTCTAGGGACCACTATTATGGGGATCCTGCACCCCCCCTTTCCCAACCAAGCATTAGTGGGCTAGAGCCGATAGCAGCGCTGGCTCGCTCTTGGCATCACGCTCAGCTAGGCCACTCTGTTGTCAGAATACCTTGCACGGCCTTGAGGGTAGTTGCTCGGATTCCTCTAACGCTGCTTAACAAAATGTGGCTCAGCCTTGTCTTCAAAAGTATTTACCGAAACTCTGACAGACAATTCCAAGCAGATGTTCTAGATACTAGCTTAACAGCGCTACTCAGAACTTGTGCGGAACTTCTCCCAGTTAATCAGGGCCCCGCGCCTCCAGCCTCAGCGAATTAGTTCCTCTTTTTGGGCTGTCGACTTGAGAGCTCTTTTAGGTAAAGACAGACGGCTCGTACACGAAGCCGCCTACGCTGGACCGGCGGAACTCTCTGTACGGCAGGGTGTGATGCTCCTGTGCCTGACAGGGCAGTGCCCCTTTGGTTTCCCGCGTGGTGCAGGCAACCGCATTGAGAGATTCTTCGGCCCTGAAGCTGATGTGCTGCCGGTAGCTGAGTACGCAGTTGCCTCCGGAGAGACCTCTCGTCTTCGTGGACATGCCAGGCCATGGCTCTACAGTGCTGGAGACAAGTCCAGGCTCTACGGCGTGTTTTTCGGAAATGAGCGACTTGGATTGCAGCTCACTCTGGGAGTAGAAAACTGGATGACTGTCGCAGTGCCGTCAATGCTGTCGCGTGCAAGGTTTGCTTACAGCCTGGTGTGGAAGAGGCGGGATGCCATCACCCCCCAGACATTCCCGAACAGCGAGTCCGCCAGTCTTACTTCTGGTCAGCAAGGAAGGCGAAAAGACGAGTACTTGTAGCAGTCCTTACATACTTTTTATGTTAACCCTGTATGGTGGTCTCTATATTCTATATGAACCCCAATGGCGTAGTGGCTTCCATCGTGTTTTCCATTCCCTATATATATACACATGCATATTTCACGTTGTTTCCGTTTCGGTCGCCATTACAGTAGTTTTCATGTTCCTTCCCATTCCTTCATTCCCTGCCAACCGGAGGTACTATCCTACCTAACCCCATACGTAAGCGTCGTTTCATGTTCCATGTCATTTTCTATTTGAGACTTCATGAAATTATCGGGGCAATATCTCTGAAGCCTAAACACTGTGGGGTAATGTCCCTTTATAGTATAGCTTGCGTAGCCCAAGTGGTGTGTAAAGCGTTTTGAGAGGATTTTTGCAATGTCTAGACAATGTCACGGCGAGGTTCGGATCGGGGTTGAAAAAGGGTCGGGGCTTTAAAGCCGTAAGAACTGAGATTTCTTTGGGGCTTTGGATCGAGCCCCTGTCAAGTCACCAGTCCCATGTCCGACCTCCCCCACTTTTTCGATCTCCCTCAAAGGAAGGAGGGGAGGAGGTGGCGGAGCAAGAGCACCAGCCTTTGAACTTCCGTTTGACCTCAGGGCTTAAGCAGTCTGAGATTCCACACCACGGCCCGCACCAGTCTTTCACCTCCTTTTGACCTCCAAAATCTTTGCTAAGCCGTTAAAAAAAGATAGGCTGTAATCACTGTAATCCCTATAAAAGCAGCTCACAGGCAGAAGTTCTGGGGGCGACCCGGAACCAGGCCGAGCTAATGAAACTCATCGATGCTTTCTAGGGATATTATATCGGTTAAGGGGTTTAGGGATATATACATTACATACCATATGTATATACATTAAGGGGTTGAGGGATGTACACATGAGCAGCCGCATCTGTTTACGTAAGAGAGTAGAAGGCTAGGCGCGTTGGTATTTTTGCATCTGGGTTCAGCGTTCCTCTGGGAACGAGATAGGGGCCGTGGATTGAACGAGATAGCCTACTGTTTGTTTTGCAATGAGAGCCCAGTACATGTTCCAACATGGTGAACGAGTTCAGGTGATTTTGTCAAGGTACAATACAATAAAGATGCCGCAGAAGGCTCAGGTAATAGATAAAAACCGGGGCATATATATACATATATAGATATACAAGTATATACACATGTACATATATGTATATATCTGCGAGGATATAAAGAAGGGGTATATTGGGATATGTAGGGCTATAGTTTTAAAGGATACATGCGGATAAGATTTACGGGGAGGTATATAGGGATAGATAGTGATATAGTCTTATAAGGACATATGCGGGCACGAGGTACCGGGGGTATACAGGGATACGTAGGGATATAATGTCATTATTGCGGATCGCGGTATTTGAGGATATATGAGAGATGATAAATAGGGGTATATGGAATTTGACATAAGGGTACATGGGGATATGATATGTAGAAGTGTATGTGGATTCGCGGGGATATTGTATCTACGCAAACATATTACGGGGATGTACAGGATTAGGGAGTAGGGTTTACCCTGAGTGACGGAGAATCAAATTGACAAATTGAAAATGAAACGAAAACCTGCACGCTGTTGTACTTCCCAGACCCCCTAATTAAAGGATCCAAAAAATGTAACCCCCCAAGATGACCATCATCACTACGTTGGGTAAGATAGGGGACTATTGGGAAGTTCCATGTTTTGGATCCTTTTGCAGCCAGGACAAGTCGTGAGGAGCGGTGGTAGTCTTAGCACTTGAGCACTCAGATGCAAGGCTGAAAAGCGAGCGGGCAAACACGCTAAACCTTGGGTACTGCCCCCACTCATTAACAGTTGGATAATATGTACGGTATGGAAGTATCTAGTGCTCTAAATGTGACCCCTAGTATAGACTGTTAATGGCTGGGGGCAGGACCTAAACTAAGCCCTAAACCCTGTTTCTTTGCGGTTGTTGGCATGTCAGGCCCATACGCCTGTTGCTGTTCGGTTAGAGGGTGGGCACGGCTACTTGTGGTGGTGGTGCTACTGTTCTCACATGAGCTATATCCTAAGCTCCTTTAAAGGGGGGTTATGTGGGGGAGTATTATAGGAGGTTTGGATTATAGCTCTTTCGTATTGCGATTATTGTTGCTACTAGATTCTTATTACTATTATTGTACTAGTATTTGGCGCAATGAAGCAACTCCTGTGGCATTTCTTGAAGCTGCGCAGGGGCTTGTAGATTTTGATGCTCACCCTGCAGCCATTGGCGTCTATGCTAAAACGCATCAGCGCGTTGAAAGAATGCACCCTACAGAACCTGCATCAGCAATGTTTAACAACGAGCTAAAAGAATCAAACGGTCAAGAGAACCGTTCCGGACGCGGTTGAGCACACATGTTAAACGTCGAGGCAGCCAGCAGTTGGGGCGTGAGCTGTTCAGCAAACTTGCTTGCAACTTCATATTTATGCGCCAGCATCGCACAACATGTGCGAACGTGCAAGGAGTTCGTTTGCCCGGAGCTGCGGCTGGCAATGTGCCATGTCATGCTGCGCACGCATTTCAGTGCGAAGTTACGATGTAGCTGTTGCAGCCACCATGTTACTGTTGTTGCCATTGCCAGGTAAAAGAAGCTATCAGAATTATCATGTTTGAGCCCCGGCACGGCCTGTGGACATAAACTTTGAAGCAGTCACCTGCGCAGGCACTGTCTTGTCATTTGCCGTAGTCTTGGCGGCTCACAGCCAGTCGCGCGAGCCACAGTTACTGACAAAAAAATTGTGTCCCCTGTGTCATGCTTGGATGTTCAGGGGGACTGAGTGAACATGCCAATTACCCCTATAGCCCAAGTACTAGCCCCAGCTAACCCCCATGAACAATTAGCCTACTTACTAGGTCCCCTGACCCTCCAAGTAACCGTAATGTCCGAAGTTTTCCCGTGCTACAGGATCTCAAAGCCGTTGTGTCGGAACTCTTTGACGTAGAGTACTTGAAGATGAATGACAGCCAGCTGCTGCAGGCACGAAGCAGCAGGCTACAGCATCATCACATAATTTGGCAGTCGCTCTGATGAATAATATCATCAGTAGTACTCTTATCAATAGTAGTCCTCCGAAGCCCTACACCCGAAAGCCCTAATGCTTCCTTCACTCACTTGAGGAAGTAGAGCGCCTGGTGGAAAAATTCTCCGAGATCCTCGAGAACAATTCGGACAAGTCAGGCCTATGTTGGGCATGGGGTTTAGGGTTTAGGGCTTGGGGCTTAGGGAGCTGGAAGTGTCTTACCCTAAGGGTCCAAGTACACAAATCATGAAGCTCGACGTTACCTAATACCCCAACATTTGGGTACTTGGACCCTTAGGGTTACATGAGCTATAGTCTAAACTCCTAGCATGCAGGCCGAGCGCAGCTGGTTTTCAACTTGTACACGGCGAAGAATCGCAAGCAGAGCCTCTGGTGCGGGTCCAAGTACCTAAACAATGGGGCTTCCCGTCCCCAAACAGGGTTTAGGGCTTCAGGCTCCAAACGCCCCAATCATCTGATTTTGGGTACCTAAAGCCTCACCATCCTACTCGTTGGATGCTTGTACGCTTAGACTCGCCACCTTGCCAGTCTGCATCTCGCAGGAATATTTTTGTCGGGAGTGACGAGAAGATCGTGTTTGAGCAGTGGCGAATCCCAGTGGCCGTCCAGCCACTCAACAGGCCCACATGCGATTTTCCACAAACAGCCGGACACCTTATGTACCCAAACTATTTGAAACCTCAGTTGGAGGACCCCCACAGAAGGGACCACCAATTTTCGGAACCCAATCCCACTTGCTCGCACTTGTAGTTGAGATGATCGTCGCAACCTGTCAATTAAGAGTCTGGATTTGCAGCACGCGTCTCACAATGATTGGTCATGCTGGGCCCATGTACAAGCTGCTGGGTTGCAGGTATCTTAATCCTGCAGACAATCTACGAGAAGAAGCAAACTTGCAGGCCCGAAATTCGATCAAAATAGTATCATCAGCCACTGGTATCCGCATATAATCCCCATAATATAATCCCCTGCGTATATAACCCCTATATATAATCCCATATAAGTCACCCCTATATAATCCCGCCGTGTTTGCCGCACAAGCGGGAAGACGCTGCATCTTTTGTTTGGCAGGCTTCTGCGTCGCAGCAAGTCCAGCAGGTTTTGCACTACGTGATCGCTAGAGCCAATGCCAAGGCCCAGTTGTAGTGAAACTAGTTGGGAGTATCTGATATTACAAAATGAGGGGGGTGGGGGGGGGTTCATATTAGAGGGAGAGGACTGCACCTTTCGCAGTTGATTGCAAAGATCTTGCAAGAGTGGTAGGGATAAGTTGTCATGGTTACCCCACTCATCCGTTTGGAGGTAGAGCATCTTCCACCACCCGACAAAGAGCAGACGATGTACAACTTCGAGGTGTCATTCGTGTCTGGCGAGGGCAAGGACGAAATGCAAAATTGCATGTAGCGCGGCATAGCACTTCAGCTGGTGCGACAGCGATCATGCAGGAAATCGGAGCAGGGTCCTTGCTTCGGCAAGGCGGGACGCGGGTCGTGCTTGAGAAACACGACCGAAGAGCAATTGACCATGAATGGCTGAGGCCTGGGCACCTCGCTGAGTCAGACAATCCGCCAGATGCCGTAGCTTGCCTCTGTGGATGAAGGGGCTGAGAATGCCAAAGTCTAGAAATGTTTGGTTGTGCCAAGCTGTTGTCGGCAACCTGACTCTAGCCCTCTGCTAGTGCTTGAGGTACTCGCAAGCATGCCATCAAGCTACCGAGTTCTTAAGCAATCCCATTTTGCAAGTAAGCCTTGCCCAGGTACATGGCCTAAATGCTGCCAGGCCTGAAAGCGCATCAGGAGCTGGCATGTGTACAGAAGAGGTATGGAGATGGGTCTCAAGCTGGGCCTGGCCTATGCTTTGGCAACGTGTACATATCCAGTCGGCGGCGACTGCAGGTCTTCCTGGGTGGGTAGACTTGAGCTTCAGTTGACCCTAGCCTTAGGCTTCTTTGGTTGGAGTAAAAGGTATCACGCAAAGGGCGGTTTCAGTGAAAATAATCAGTATTCAGCATTGGCCCCAACCAGCGATGTGTTCGTTTCAATACATGTGCTTTAGTCTAAACTCCTTAAAAAAAGGTTAGGTAGGGAATTATACAGGGCAGTATTTTAGGGGTTATTAAAAAGGAGACTAGGAGTCAAGACTATAGTTCACATGTGTTGGGTTTGGCGGGCGACGTCCTTGCCATGCTCCCACGCTGACATCACCTCGCCTGAGAATCGGCCCGTCAAGCAGACACCCAGACCTGCCACCACACAGAAATCACATTATGGGGTCCGCTGTGTATGTAAACTACCATAATGGCCCAATTTGGTCAGGCAGAAGTGCTGTGCTCGTCTTGCGATGGGTTTCTCCGAGTGCCAAGGATTGTGTTTTAAGGCCCATAGTCAAGGTAGAAATAGAATTAAGGTTCCGGGTATAGTAATAATAGCAGTATTACTTGGTAGTAATCGTAAGCAACAAGGGAACTAGTAATAGGACTAATGGTAAAGAGGGTATAGGGGAATGATGGAGAATGGAAGCCAAAAGCATATGAAACTTACATGGAATCTAGGGTTCTGGAGGGATACGTAGGGATACCAACCCAATAATGGAGTATCAAATGGGAGAGACAATGGAGCACGACATGGAAACTACAATTGAGGGTTAAGTGTATATGAGATGTTCCTTGGACAGCTTATTGGCACGGATGTTATTTGCCGCTTGATTGTCCGTTATTGGCATGAGTTCCCGAACTAAATGCTTCCTACATAATCCCACTACAACCACTATACAATCCCTACATATAGCCCTATATTGCTTGGTATCGCTTATGTCTTCTTCGTCTTCCTGCTACGTACAGGTGCAGCTTGTCGTCAGTTTTCAGCGTGTAGTGCTCGTTGAGTTTGCTGACCCTGAACTTGCAGATATTTGCCCTGCGTGCTGCCAAGAAATTTTCTCCGCAACTCGACTTCAGTGGAACTCTGCTCCACACTTCCGGCACTATAGCCTGTCTAACGACGCGAATGCGAGCAAATGTCCAAACCAATCAAAGACATTCGCGCTTAGCAGTTTTGTCTTTCCGCGTACTTCGGCAACTACCCGATTGAGCTTTCGGAGTAGATGCCCATGTAACAGTAGCTAGACAAGACCTGTGTTTCGCAGTTTCCTAGCATAGATTGAAGAGTCTACCTGGCCTGCAGAAGATAGCTTTGGAAAGCAGTGCTACCAAAGCACTGAGGCGGGCGTGTGCATCACGCAATAACGCATGATGCTTGCCGACTTGTCAGATGCAGCTTTGTGAAAAAGACTCGCACTTGAGCAGTCCTTCAGTGCATGGAGACTTGCCCGCCACATTGTGTATTGCAGAAGCAAGCCGGGATGCATCCGCACATGGGATTCAGTTCTTGCAAGAAGCTCCTCATCTTTGCCTTAGCATGACATGCGTCCTGGAAGGCTGGCGGGGGGACGTTGTGCAGAGCATGATGCCTCTCAAACCACAGCATTTTCAAGGCCTTGCAAGCTTCCCTGACCAGGACGCGGCTTTGGGGTGCCGTTGTCCTGATTTTCGTACTGCTCATCCCTGCCGAAGCTCAGTCTCGCCGGCAAAGTTACCCCGAGAATGGAGAATCAAATGGAAAATGGAATGCAAACTACTACACCTAGGAATTTCTATAGAGTTTAGTTTAGGGAGTATATACTGTTGATGGATAAAATCTTGCACCACACAGGGGCACTAAACTACCGTAGGTCCGAGGACTTTAGGGATTTAAGGTGGTGCAAGATTTCCTGCATCAACAGAAGCATTCTCCAGCTGGTCTGGCCGTGCCTAAACCCCATGCCAGGCGCGGCCCATGCGCCAAGGCGTTACTTCTGGTTGCGCACCGTGATGATGAGACCTTATTTGCAGGTCGGGCAAGGGTTCAGGGTGAAATTCCATTGGGGTTGAAGGTTTAGACTTTGAATTCCATTGGGGCATATATAAACCACAAAAATGGAGAATCAAATGAAAAAGCAATGAAAGTTACCCCAATAATGGAGAATGAATCCATCCCAGCTTCCGTTTCCCTAAGCGTTCAAGTATTCAATAATCATATACTTACTGAAAACCCTAAGTACCCAATTATTGTAACCCTAAACCGCAAACCCTACATGGACCCTTAGGGTCTCATCTTGAGTCGAGGCGAGGCGCTTCTGGGTCGCAAAGCATCGTTGCCTTGGGGCTGCCGTCGAGTGAAATGGCTGGGGTCCCTGTCAGCTATGCTCATGATATGAATGTTGGTAATGATATTCATATTTATAACAGTATTCATTTTAATCATACGAACAATGAGATTGATAAGTTATTCCTGTTGGTTTTTGGTTTGCAGATAATTAGTGGCGCTTCTTGTAGGGCTCTCTTCTTACTGGTTCTTAGTAGCGGAATAAGGGAATACATTCTACAGGGTTTTATAGGGATTATATTGTAGTTTCCCCAAACAGGGGGGCTCCAGCATAGGCACCAAATTTTTACATTCTTAGATTAAAAGGATCCCTAAACAGGTACCTAATTTTGGGAAACCCTCATATTCCCTTATTCCCTACTAAGAGCCAGTACGTAAGTCTTTGAGGCATGTGGTGGTTGCTGTGGGTGCCGACTCGCACAGCAGACAGGTCACCCAGATGGATGCAGAGAGGGGTCAATCTGAGAGCGGGACTCTTTTTGGGGGTTCCAGTAATAAGAATCATGGCAGTTTGGTGTGTGTGTATATATACATATATGCTACCCCCCCCCATGGAT